GGGCGAAGACGCGGAAAAAGGTCGTTTCCTGATGCGAAAGACTGGACGTCGTCGTCGTCGTCGTCGTCGTCGTCTACTACGACAAGTCTAGGCTCGTGAGCCTCCCGTGCTTGGACTCCGAGGTACAGGCTTTCTGTTGGGTACTCCAAGATTGATCGGACGAAATCCAGGTTGAGATTGTCCTCTATCATTGCGGTTTTGCGGCGCTGATGTAGGGCTTTCAGCAACCTGCTGATATTGAGGCGGGCTTTCATCGTCTGGAGGAAGCGCCTTGTGCATCTTGAGCACACTCTGCTGGCGTGCAACCGGGGACGTGGGAGGTGAGCCGGAATGAGACTCCGGAGGGGTGGAAGGAAGCATGTCAAACGATTCCGACGACGAGTTGGCTGTAGGGTGGCCGTACGGCGATGTGGCCTCACGTTCCTTTCTCCGGAATACTGACGATGTCGAATCAGCTCCAGGTTCAATGGTTCTGCTGGAAGAAGAAGCATCTGGTGGGTTATACTCGCGGCGGGGGCCATCCACAGGGCTTAGAGTTTCAGCCATCGCGTCTTCATAGCTGGGGGGTGCTTCGTCATAGACATCCTCTACACTGGTGGGCATGACCGGACCCGTTGGCCGGGGAGGTACTGGTGGACGCTCGACTGTATCATCCATAGGGTGGCCGGTCATCGGCGCAGGTTTAGAGGATGTCGCTTGACCAGTAGTAGCCATGGCATCTAGCAGTGCTTGTGGAGGAGCTATTCCAGAATACACTTTGACTGGCATTCTCAAGGGAAGTACGATGAGTTGGGGCTTCGAATGTCAGCAAAGCAGGAACATTGAGCACAGTGACCAGATCCAAACATACCTTCATGTCTCCGATACTCCCGTGACTCAAGCCGATCCGTACCTCGAGTTCATAATTTCGTGATATATTACAAGTCTCAAAGGATGGCGCAACTGAACTGGGCAACGCTATGCGGTTCCACATGGAGGGATCAAGTGTCCATTCTGTACCAGCGGGATCCCCTCCTCTGCCAAGAGGAATAGACATATTACTGCGGCTGAGGAGAACCCAGCTGCCGCCTTCCGTGCGCCGAAGATCATGGGCCAGGACGTGGGTATAACTAATCAGCTCAATTTGCAGCATCTGAAGGAAGATCGTCTCGAATGACTCGGAGACCTTCCTCACCAGCAACCTCAGAGGTATTGGCTCATTACAAGTAAGAATGGATGGGTTCGGCAGTCTTGCATCTGCAGAGACACGGACAGGTTCTCCTCCCACATCCCGGAGCGATGAGGAGGAAGCTTTGGAGAATAGACTCTTGGTTCTGATCTTTTCGGGAACTTTGCTGAATTGATGGTGACGTCTAGCATACGTCTCTTCGTTAGGCCTTCCAGTCCGTGGAGGCTCAATTGGGAGGAAATTCAACGGCGTGATCTGGTAAAAAGTCAGCAGCTATTCATGACGATATCCACTATATTCACTACTGCCAAAGACTGGTACATACGGCTCTCAGATTCTCCTTGTAGAACTGTGGGCGAATGACTGTTGCCTTCACATAATATTTGATCTCTGCCATGCCTGGAAAACCACTCAAAGAAGGAGGCAAGGTTTTCTTAACGTGCCGATTTGTATCCTTGGCCACCTCAACCTTCAACCCGGTAAAGTTCAGGTTGGTGAGCATACTATTGTGTGAGCTGCATGAATTGTTGAAAGGGAACTTGAATCGTGTCAGCCGACGTCGTCGCCTCAGATAGCGGCCATATACTCACTTTGAATCGGAAGGGATACTCGTACGTCCCAGCAGCAAAAGTGTACGACGTATTCTGAGTTTTCTGGTTGAAAATAGCCGGAGTTGGGAAGAGCGTCTCAACCTTGTACAAGATCTGTCAAATCGGTTAGTCGAACTGATATTTTTGATTTACTGTTTCGAATAGACGAACCTTATGAACTTCAAGCTCCGTCCGTTTCTTATCCGACTGTTCACTGTGTGGATGCCGTGGGCCTGAAAGTCGAGTTCTGCTTTCTCCCTCAAGTTTCACTTGAATGCCTCCTATCGGAGCTTCTGAGGGGAGGTGGAGCACAACTCTACCCGTTAGGAAGTCGAGATTGGTGAAATGAGCATGATTCCTGTCCAAATGGATGGTTACAGACATAGCAGGCACTCGATATCAGCAGCCGAGAGTTGCCTTCTTGATGAAGATGATAGTGGAAATGGTGGTTGCTGATGTAGTTGAAGCGACACCGTGCAGTCTCCGTCGAAACCCCAACCGGCCGATACAAATATGGAATTACTGTACAATCTGATCTTATAAAAAATTAGATCCACACCAGTGTCATAGAGATCAAGTGTAAGACGGAGAAAAGAGCACGGGAGTCCGGCATGGACTAACTAACTAGTTAACGGGTATCTGAGGGTGGGAAATATGACGTTCTTCCAATACGAAGAGCAAAAGGCGGGCGTGGGGCCACTCTTAGTGACTCTTCCTGACACTCTGACAGGGTCTCACTTTCATCATCACAAATTGAAACAATCGAAAGACGAAGAAGTGGCTGTCGTCTTATTGTTGTCTTCTACAACTCCTCATCCCCCTTTACCTCCTTATTGGCTTATTGTGGTTCTCCTGATCTGCTGTTCTTCTGGGCCTAGGCCGGGGTTCGAGCAAAGCCACTCGCATTCCACGGAAATAGAGCTGCACCGCCACCCTCGACGTTACCGCTGATTCAGAAAGCTGTGCAGAAGGCCGATCATTATTGGACGACGTCAAGACATGTACCTATACCTAGTATGTTTGCCATGATATGCACAATGCAATTGCCGTGTCATAAGGTAGAAATCGCTAGTCTAATCGGGTATCGCCGAGTTTCCAGAAAGGGACAAAAACGAGCATCATCCAGTAGCTTCCAGTCGCTGATCACTAGGCATCAAGATTTCTCGTCAACAACCAAACTAAGCGTCATCAAAGGCCTTCCTTAGCAAGCATATCTAACATGGATGGTCAGCCACAGAAATAAGTTGGTCGCGCGAGAAATTTGACGCATCCTACCTGCAATGTCAAGGTAGAACGCGATGGCGTTGAACCTACAATTGGAACCAGCTCATATCAGTGGGACGAATCCAAGGCCAGGGAGAGATTTTACAGACCTTTGCCTATTTCCAGTTATCTCACCCGCAAGCCACTTCAACCTGTTGGACCAGTTGATCAGGTCCAGGTGGCTCACCCCTTCAAGGGTGCCTTTGTACTTTCCCCATTTGCTGCTAGCGACGCTGACTAGCCCATCGTTATATCCTTCCACCTCTTGGAGAACGCGATGGGACAAGCGGAACATAGACCAAAAGCTTGGTTGCATCGCTGCGCCGTAGCTGAAGTAACTGTACAACACTCAGCCTTGCTGCCCTTGATTTACTGCAGACCACTCACCGGACATCCTCAACGTCAGGCGTCGCTGGATTGAACGTATCTTCCATGTACTTGCGCGTCAACTGAGAAAAGGCTCCAGTTTCAACCTTGAGTTTTCCGAGAGCATAATATAACTGGGGTAGTCGTTCGTCTGCAGGTTTATAGGTATGAGTTTGGTTTTCTGCATAGGGTAATAATGATGGAACGAACCGCCAATCCGCTCAAGCACATAATCTGCAACCGCAGAGCCTGAATCATCTAAGCAAACAGTCATGAATCATTCCAAGGCACAACATACCTCGATGAGGACTTGCAATTGTTGTCAAAGACAAGACCTTGAACTTCTTCGGTCTTAGACGACTTATCATGTACCGAGCATCAAGACCCCTTGTCATGGTCAACAAAATCATCAAAGAAGTCTCATCTGATTATCGAGTATCTCACCCCTGTAAGACGACTGTGAACACCTCGACCCCTAAAATACGTTAAGGGTTATCTTACCATACTATGTCTGTATACGGGTCAGTCTGAAAGCTACTCTTGAACCTTTAAAGCGGAAAATACATACGCAATAATATTTACAGCTTTCCCCTGGGCGCCCTCATCTATATCCTTCACCAGCTCCTCCGCACGCATCTCAATGGACGCGGAAGGAGGTACAGTTGCAGTGATGACTTCGACTCCTTTCAGGGTCAAAGCTTCCTTAATTCCGCGCCAGTACTGAACTCCAGGAAGGAGAGGGCCAGCAAGGCGCAATTCATCAAAACCTAAAAGCCCATGCGCAAGGACAACGGGATGCTTTGGGGTTTCTGATGCGACGACCAAGATCGATCAATAAGCCAACTTTTGGACACAGGAAGGATGGGGAATCATAAGTCGTACCGTAATGATATCTGATTACCGCATATTCGTCTCGTATAACCTTCCCAAGGTCTTCTAGTCGAGGATCAAGAGTATATGGACCTGTATGCTTATGCGAATTGCTCCTGCGTGGTAAAGAGTGGAAACTCCGATAGGAAGAACCAGATGATCGAAACCTACAAAGGCTGCGAAGAACCCTTACTTGTGCAGACGCATCCAATTGTGCGCCAACATGTCCCATGTTCATCCACCAAAATCTGTTTTTTGTTTTAATAGTTCCAAAGAAAGAGGAGTGAAGGACAAGTTTACTTGTGATTTAGATGCCGCGGTCCTTATGACGCAAGTGGATCGGCGATTCATGCCTCAGGCAGAATTTACCATATACTCCGTACATGCTTGTCAAGTAATCACAGGCGCTGAGACCGACAACGGGCTAATATGGATGTGCGCATATCTGCACATATTGCCAGACTTTCGCTGATGGAATGTCAGGTGAATGTTAGGTGATGGACGCTGACTCTAGAATACCCGCTTGATCTGCAACCATCAATCGAGCTCACTATGATAAGGCACCCATCTTTTCTATCGTTCTTGCTAAGCGCAGGAAATCTTGGGAGAAACAGGGATATTTGATATCTAATGCGAACAGCAACACAGAAGCTATGTTCAAGACCCTAAAGCAAGCAAAAAACCGAACAGATGCAACCACTGCGCACGGGATTAAAGACAGCAGACATTGATGTACCAAACTTCTATGCCTTTATCTTGTCTGACGCCTGAGGCTTCACATCAACGACTGCATTGATCAGGTCATCAACAACCTTGCCGCCCTTCTCCTTGCCTGCAGCTTGAATCTCTTGAAGCTTGCCCTCTGCCTCTTTGTTGGCATCCTCCTCGGCCTTCTTGTATCCGCTCGAGTGCTGCGGAATTGTTCAATAGTCAGCCACAATTATGAGGTCGCTGGGGTTGCAGACCCCGCTGCATTGGATGCATCAGAACCTATCGTCAGAATCAAGACTCACCTCAGCCTCAAACTTCTTGAATTCCTCCTCCTTCTGTTGTCTGTACTCGTCAATTTCCTTCTGAGCCTCTGCCTTTGCGTCCCTTATCCGCTTTGTGCGATCTATTTGTACCCATAGTCAGATATGGCAATCGAGGGCGAAGTTCATGCGGGCATACATTCTCTGGCTGGAGTCGCAGGAGGTTAGCAAGGTCTCATGAAATACAAAACTTTAACAATCATAAAGACGAAAGGATAGGAAACAAACCTTGCTGTACAATCTTCTGAGCCTCTCTCTCAGCCTAATAGGGGAGCATTAGTCTAAGTCCAACAGCAATCACACCAGCATGACCTACATCGAGGAGGGTCTGAATGCCTGCTGAGTTCTGGGCGGACTAGATCAACTATGTTAGCGTCTCCGCCATACTTCAAATCACAAGAGCACACGTAGCTCACCATTGTGCCGAAGTGTCTTTAGATACCGCGACAATAGTCAAATAAAGGAGACAGAGCTCAGGATAGATTAGGTAGAGTTGTGGAGCTGGTGATGGACAGCTCGATCCCCGAACCGCATACGCCACGAATGACCCGCAAGGCGGTCGGAGGTTCTGCCATCCCACACCGCTGCCGTTGATGATTATTACCGATAATGGCTTTTTAGATTGCCAGGCATTGTCAGATCGCAATTGCGCCGTTTACGTGGTGCAATTCTTAGAGGACACTACAATGTCTCGAGCTTCCAAGGTGACACTAGCGCTCACCAGTCTTGGTACTGCGGGGATCGTTTACTTTGTGCACTGGTCCCAAGAGCAAGAGAAAGCGGTAAGCTAGGAGACTTCTCGGTATCCCTCAAGTATAGAGGCTAATTCTCTGTTGTCTTGATAGCAAATGCACAAAGGCGTTGAACGAGATATGGAAAAGCAGCGGATTCGATTGGAGCGACAAGCCGAGTTTGAGATGCAGAAAGCTCTGGAAGAGGAGTACAGGAAGCTTCAAAAAGTGTCTCCGAGCACAGATACTCAAGGGTCGAGCGGGTGACATTGATACCATACAATCGGGTCATAAGTAGGTTGAGCGAATACATATATCTGGGTCTATGCTGCTTTGACATATGATCTTGGGTGCAGTAAGTTCTGATGTTCGGCTCTCTGGTCATAGCTAACGACTTTTGCAAGAACCAACTATATACCACTTCGACGTTTTTGAAGTGAACTGTGTAAATTAGTCACGAAGTGTACATTATGCCGATTACGGGTTTACTAGACATATTCTGCATAGACTTGTCTCAATGCAAATCATCTCTGCTTCATATGAGGAATGCTCCAAGAAAGCAGACTGGTCAACGGCGTCTGCCATGAGCATTCAGAGTCTGGTACTTTGAGAGCATGAACACCGTGCCAATCGTGTCGGCCTGGGCAACTTACTTCAAGGGAATCGGCCCTTATGGTAGCATGATTATCGACAAGACCTTTTATCTATATAATATCGGTCAATCCTTCGATGCCTACCTTATGCTTTTTACAACAGGGTGGGCCTTTCAAGTGAATATGCGAGCTACTCCTTCCCAGTAGTTATGTAATTGTGGCTGTTTCAGATACAATGGCCGCACGACTGATCGACTGGGGTCAAACGCATTAAAGTACATTTTGTGGTCCTTCAATGTGCACGGCGCAAGTCATCAGGAAGGGCATGCCATCTAGGCGCTTGTTTCAACCCATGATCATCGCATCGGAACCTTGCTTACATTCGACGAATCGTCTTCAATTGTACCAATCCCTCGCGGGTGAACTCCAAGGAAGATTTTGCCAGGATAAGTCACCAGTCAATCGCTACTTTGGCGCATAACCCTCCCCGTATAATGGGTGCTGGTAACCAAGAAGGGGTGGTCTCGACTCTCGAGTTCATTGCTCAGAAGCTAACAACTTCCCATGAGCTTACATTGATAACGAGGCTGTTGATTTGCTGGTGAATTGTACGGTGAGAAATATGTTCCTCAAGGAGATCTGACATAGACTAACAGTCAGTCACGCGATCCGACAAACCTGGATGCTCCCGTAGCTCCATATGGTCTTCATATTTCATTTTCATGCCAACAGTCCACGTGAGCGCATCTCCAACCTTATCTGTATGAATCACGTGTGATCTTCGGCTATCTTCGGAGGCCGGATTGATTCCGGCCTCTTATCGCGCTAACGTCACTAAAAAAGGCTAATTTGGCCGGATGACGGCAGAAGTAGCCAATGGGAGGATGTTTTATGTAACAACAGATCTTGGCATCTATTGAGATATAGAGCAGGCAGTGTACATGACAAGGAGTGTTCCATGGCATTATCCCAGCAACGAGCATGAATTTCCCAGTATCTTTGATGATAACTGACTTCAGAAACATGGTATAATGCTTAGATGCCATCTGAAGGCTTCCCCTAAAGCGCGGGGAACGAAAAATGCATCTTGAGCGGAGCATCTACTCCGCCAAATCGGGCTTAGCGTGCTCCCGTGACTTTATCGTGCCCTCTCTGACAGCTGTTTGTATAGAGATGTTGTTGAGGCAATGAGATGCTTCGATCAGCCAAAAGATGGTGAAGTTTGCATCAGATATCTTTGTATCAGCTTAATATTTGATGTATTAACGCTTGCAGATGATGCTAACATGGTTTCACGCGCAGAGTCGATGTCTCCACGCGAATTTCGTAATAGCATGCCCGTGGCCGGAAATAATACCGGCCTCTGATATTATAAGAATCGCCTCCTTTCCTGCCAAATCTCCCGTCTGTTTCTCTGGATTCCAAGTCCTGAAGAGGCCTCGTCTTGCTCTAGTTGACTTTTTCTACTGCCGCTTTCTTTCATTTGTTGGATATCATAGATCCCCCTCTGCTTCCTAATAGTCTTCCACTATATCAAGCCACCCTTGCCTTCCCTATAGACACATAGACACATTTTCCTTCTGCCAACTTCCACCATGACCCAAACAAAAGTCCCTCCAACCTCTACCACAACCCTGAAGCGGTTCCCTCATATCCATGATGACCCTGCTACCCTTCCCCGGTCCTTGGACCCCTTCACCATCACCACCTCCACTGGCTTTCTACCATACTGCACCTCTCCTGCCACGCTGCCTGATGTCTTCAAGCCGTTGATGGACTTGCTGGACCGTATGCCCGTCGTCAGGCAGGATGGTACTCCCGGTCTGCTGGCCAAGTATGAACTGGGCCCTGTTGTCGAGACCGAGCTTCCTGACCTGACTGACGAGGTCGACAAGCTTGTTACTGCTGATGGCTCCCCAGACCTTTACACTGTCACTGCAGTGTTCAGAGATTACTCTTTCCTTGCTTCGGCCTATCTGCTTGAGCCATGCTGGGAGAACTGGTGCAAGGCCCCTGAGAACGGGTATGGGCTGGGACGGGACAAGCTGCCCAAGGCCGTTGCCCGTCCCATGTACCGCTGTGCTCAGCTGTATGTCTTCCTTCTGTGTGTCTTTATGTTATATCACTGACACCCTTGTTCAGGTTGGACATCCCTCCATTCATGTCCTATGCTGCTGCTTATTCGCTCTTCAACTACCACCTTGCGGACCCATCCAAGGGCTTGGCGTATGACAACCTCCGCCTGGTGAGGGCCTTTGAGCGCGGCCTCGACCCCAAGAGCTCCGAGGCAGGCTTTATCCTCACTCATGTCGACATGGTCAAGGAGTCCAATGGCCTGATCAGTGGCGCCCTCAAGGTTGTCGATACCCTTGAGAAAGGTGGCTCTCGCTCCGTTGTCAACGATGGCTTCCGAGAGATCCTCGCATCGATGGAGAAGATTGAAGCCTCCATGGAGGGTAAGCCACTCTTCACCGTCATTCATCCGCACTCACAGACCCGAGTCACGGGCTAACAATATCAGACATGTGGGCCAACTCCAAGCCTGCCGAATACCTCTCCTTCCGAGTCTTCATCTTCGGCATTACCTCCCAATCCATGTTCCCCAACGGCGTCGTCTACGACGGCGTCCTGGACAACAAGCCCCTCTACTTCCGAGGAGAAAGCGGCGCCAACGACAGCATGGTACGCCACCTGACCCCTCCATCTGCAATCTCAACTAACTTGACCCAGATCCCCCTGCTCGACCATCTCCTCCAAATCCCCATGCCCTCAACACCCCTCACTAAGATCCTGCACGAGTTCCGCGCCTACAGGCCCCTCCCCCACCGCGAATTCCTCGCCTACATCAATTCCAAGGCCGCCGAAGTCGACGTCCGTAGCTTCGCCGTCCAAGACACAGAGACCACGGTCCTGCTCCTCAAGACGCTGAACCACGTCCGCAGCTTCCGCTGGCGCCACTGGCTCTTTGCCAGGGAGTATATCATCAAGCGGACACCGCATCCCACTGCTACCGGTGGTAGTCCTATCGTCACGGTTCGTGCTTTTTCCTAGTTACATGTGGAAGAGAATCTAGCTAATGTGGATGTAGTGGCTTCCGAACCAGTTGTCTGCGGTGATGGATCTGATGGTTTCGATCTACGATACTTATCTGGCGCCGCAAAAGGCGGCGGGAGTTGTCTCGAATGGTCATCTTGCGTATGATGCGACGGTACAGAAGCAGGTAGAGCCTATGATGGAAATGGTGCGCGATCAGAGGGAGAAACTGGCGAGGGAGGTCGAGAGGTGGTGCAAAGAGAGGGGTGTTTAGTTGTTCTTCGTAAATTGTTAGAGTTACACAATTGTGACTGTTTGAGCGCGGTCGAGCCCCTGTCCTCTGCTATGGCTTTGTCCTGCCTAGATAGTGTTACCGAACTCCATCCAATATGATTCTCATTGTGTTCGATTGAGACCCGCTCTGTTTGTCTAAATGATCATCTAATAATACATGTTCTCCAAAGCCCGAAATAGAATATGCGTAATACTCGGGGACGGCTCGTCGCACACTATGCTATTATTTCAACGCCCCGAGCTCTTCCATAGGCGACCGCATCTGATGATACTTCGTCACAGAATTTGGCGTATATCCGCTTCACTTTCGCTACGTTGTCGTCGGAGCTCCTTGCATCGGCAAAAGCTTTTATTGCGCAGCCGGAGATCCTTGTATATGAGAGATACACGACCTTGAGACTGGGTAGTGCGCTAATTATAACGGCAGCCGCCTTGTCATCAGTACCAGCAATGTGCGAAATGTTGAGTTCCTGTAAGTCGCTCAGGCTGTCCATGCGGACCAGTTCCGAAATCTGCGCACCGGTGATGCGGAAGCAGCTGTCGAGATGGAGGACTCTCAAAGGCGCTTTGGCGATGCTGCAGAAGTGCTGAATAGTGTAGCCTGTGGCCCAAGGCACGTCGTTGAGAATGAGCGTATGAAGATTCGGAAGCTCAAAGGGTTCCTCGTACACAAAGGGAAATTCCCTTTGGACGAGGGCACCTCCAACGAGCCCTGTGCCTCCACGGATGCGAAGATATTCAAGGCTAGACGGCAGACCAAATTCGGCTCCAACGTACACGCCGCTCAAGTCCAGCCGACGCAGCTGTGAAAGCTCATGTACATCAAAACTTAGATGATAAGGAGTGAAGATTCGTGGGTTCCAGCTGAGCCGAAGCTCTTCCAAATTGGGAAGACATGTCGAAAGACCCTGCTGTATGGCATTAGACTCATTGTATTGCACGTGAAAGACAAAAAGGCGCGCCAGGCATACCGGAAGATGAAGAGCAGGAGCCTGCACGTCCGGTGCAGCAGCGGCGACCATGGCACCAAAAGTGATACTTTTGAGACTTGGGAGTTGCTCTGGCCACTCCACCCGAGCCAAGTTAGATGGCTTGGCATCATGAACTTCGAGTCGCTCCAAAAGAGGCAAAGTCTGAAGGAATTTGCCAATGATCTCCTGCGGTAGGGCTGTGTGGCCGGATATGATCAAAGATTTTAATCGTTTGGAGCCCTTGTACAGATCGTAGAGGACATCAGGCTTGGACTGAGCCCATATCTCAAGATGCTCTAGGTTCGGGCACCTGCTGAAGAATTCCAAAACTCTGTGCGTGGACGGCGTCGAAACATTCCTGACGATGGCATGTGTGAGCATCGCTTTTGATCGACGGATGTACGCCCGGACCGAAGGCCAGTGGATTTTGCCACGAGCATCCGACAGATCTATACGCATCCAAAGACTTCGTATGGACGACAGAAATCGATCCCACTTTTTTGATACGCGGAGAATAGCCCTGGGAAAAGTACTCAGAGCTGTGCAGTAGAGTATGCGTCTTGATCCACTCACACAATCTGCTTGAAGTCGAAATGGTTCACAATCATCATCGCTACCTCCAATGGCAGTACGCTGAACGGATCATGGCACTTTGCATGTGCTTTGCTCCACAACTTGTCATGAAGTTGTTCTACAAGCTACGCAACGGTCAATACGCAAGTCCAGACAAGGTGGCTCGAGTAAGGCATGAGTTAGGTGAAAAATAACCTACCTGACGACGGGGGTCGCATGTCGGCAAAGTCTTTAAGGCATAAGCGTAGACGTCAAGGGCCTTGTCAGGTTTACCATCCGACAGCAGAACCTTTGCACATCGAAGATAGCCCTGTCAATGGTCAATAGGGGTGCTTTTTTGACATCTGCAATGTGGGATTTGCGATCCTACCCGGGCGTCTAGTTTGTCAGTTTTTATCATGGCCCTGGCATCCCTTAAAGCCAGGTCATACTTGGCTAACTTGGTATAGGTGGCAGCACGGTTATCATAAACACTGAGGACATCGCCATGGCCGGCTTTCAGGGCCTAGTCCAAAAGGAAGTTTTAATAAAATCATTCGTATAAGACTCGACAGAGATACCGTGAGGTGGAAATTACCTCTGTGAAGACCTCAAGGGCAGCTTGGAAATTGCCTTGCTGATATAGTTTCTGGCCGTTTTGCTGCAATAATGCGGCATCACTCAAGCCACGATCTATTGACAAAGATCCAGCCACTGAACACAAACATCATTATCATGCTTAGTAGACTCATCCCAGCACTCATCTGAACAACCTTAGCAACAATATCGAAAAAATCGACTTACCTCGAGGAACGGCCATCTTCCACTAAAATCCACATCCCACACCGCCTGACGCGGAAGAGAGACGCGCATCATCAGCCTGGCAACGGGAAGTGCGCGTGGCCATTTTCGAGTCCGCTGCGCTTGTGGTCGGACCGGACAGCCCCAGCGATGGCGGTGTTTACTTTCTTCCACTTTTGGAATAATCCCTGCACATTGGAAAATAACGGTCCTCGTTGACATTAATCAATCATCACGTCGCCATCGTCGCTGGCTCCGAATATTCGATAAAGCTTGCAGGTCAAGCCATGGAGCCGCATAATCTACAGGCGGCATCAACTTATATTAATAATGTGCTCCTTGCTCGGGGCCTGCTGAAAAGCGGCAAAGCGATCGACTTCGCTCAACCGGAGAATGACGATGGAGGAATCGATGGTACAATGGCGAGGATCATCAACTTGGTGAATGATTTGGTCTTGAGAAGAGACGTATGTGAATTGGGAGTTTGTATTCTATTTGAGCTGTATGTCTGACCAGCGTCAACAGCGGGAAGCAGAGCATCGGGAGAACCTCGCCACCACGATTCGGACATTGCGCGCGGAGGACTCTCAGAAAACGCTTGAGATTGTATGTTGGATTTGTACCAATACCCGAGAGCAGCAACTAAAGTTGCCTACAGGAAAAGTTGAAAACGAAAACGTCGGAATTGGCCCGGTCGCTGGCTCTGGCGGAAGCCCAAGAGCGTGCCCTGAAAACGAACCTGTCCAGCACTGAAGCGACGATTAGAGGACTAAAAGAGCAGATACAACGCATGAAGACCACTGTGCAACAAATTCGCGCACAGTGCGCCAATGACGTCCGCAAGCGCGACCTGGAGATGCAGAAATTGAAATCACACTTGGCTGAGCGACAGAGAGGAAGACGGGAAGGACTGGGGGTGACGACAATCAACATCAACCCCGCGGTCGATCGAATGTCCAAATCTAGGTCCCTCGCCGGTGGAGAAGGACTCAATGATCCCGGGTACAGCTTGAAGCAGGAAACGAACGAATTTTTGACGGAGTTGTGCCAGAGCTTGAGCGACGAAAATGATACGCTGATTGTGCTTGCGCGCAATACTGTTCAGACCCTGATGGATCTACAAGGGTTGTCACAGATAGAAGAAGAAGACGAGCAGTATCCGAATGCATCGACAAGCACACGGGGCATGAAGTCGTCCCAGGGACCCGTCACTACACTTCCTTCATCTTGCGAGGAACTATCGGTTCAAATGGACAGAGTGCTCGAGCACCTGAGGACATTGCTCACTAACCCGTCCTTTGTACCTCTGGAAGAGGTCGAAGTCCGCGACGAGGAAATCAAGCGTCTACGAGAAGGATGGGAGAAGATGGAGACTCGATGGAAACAGGCCGTTACCCTCATGGATGGCTGGCACAAGAGAATTGCCGACGGAGGTGATTCGGTGCGAGCAGAGGAGCTCCGGCTGGGGTTGAAACTCGACCTCAGCGTTGACTCGATGCATACATCCACAGCCGATAGTGGGATTGATACAACCATGCAGTCTCCCATTTATGAAGACCAACAGGCCGAGGAAGAGGCGGAGATCCCAGTCAAGGTGGCCAAATATCATGCAGACCGACACGAGACTGGCGACACTGCCACCGGCAAAATAGCCTCGCCTCGCGAACGGAAACCTCGCAAACCTACCAGTCGCGCTCTGAAGGAACGGAGTGATAATATCGTTTCTGGGCCTCGGAAAGTGTCCTTTACACCTGGACTCCAAGGCTCGCCATGTGTAGCGACTGGCCAAGAAGACGAGACCTTGGTGGTCAAAGCTCACAAATCCGAGGCTGTGACCCGAAGACCGTCGAAGAAAAGGGTAGATCCCAAGACGTCACATCAGGTAAGGGCCGAGAACAAGTGATATTAGAAGTAGTTGAGGTCTGACTTGAAGGCCACAGGGTCCCGAGGATGAGACGCAATTGAGCGTATCACAGAAGCTAGCAGCTGCCGAAAGCGAAGCGCGAGCCGCAGAGGAAGCTCGCAAGGAGTCAGAAAGCCGAAAGAGAACTCGAGGGGTGAAAAGCTCCAAGAAAGCCACCCGCGACCGACGGAGAAGCACATTGACCAGCGACGAGCTCGGAGAGCTGATGGGAATGCCATCGCGATGACGGGATCGATGGCCTTGTTTGGAATGGCGTTCGGTTTTGTTGATACCCCCAAGCAGTTTATCTGTACATACATTCTTTTTTACACACCTACTCAAGGGCGGGATTCTTACACATGGCGCACGTAATCGCTACCAACTCTGTACTGTTCTGGAGCGAACCATCTACTATCAATCACAATAATTCCATAATATACGCTTTTCGAATTTACCTCGAGAGTGCCACTAGTGTAGACACTTGAAGAGGTCCGTCGGCATCTCATCTTGTGCCCGAAAGCTTCCCCACAAACCTCGGCAACTGGAGCTTCGAACCACAGTAGGTCAATCTCCGCATTATTTATTGCCAGACCGTCCACTTTCAGATTAACAACCGCTGGCATAATGAAACAATCACTCTTGTGACTTTTATCTGGCTCTTCACCTTCCTTTCAATGGTTGAGCGTTTTCATCCTCTTTCAGCACCAACCCTTTAACAACTCATTTCAACACCCTACGTAAGCATTTGGACACTGCGGAGTATATATACACGACATCAACGCTTGTGGTTCATACTAAAGAGGCCTATCATATGTCCAACCCATTGAACTATGTCCTCATCACCATCAAAAACATTCCATGGCTGGGTCGCCCGCGACGCCACCAGCCCCCTAAGTTTCACCACCTTCGAACCCAAACCCTTCACCGAAACCGACATTGAAGTCAAAATCTCCCACTGCGGCATCTGCGGAACAGACATCCACACCCTCCGCTCCGGCTGGGGCCCAGCCGACTACCCCTGCGTCGTCGGCCACGAGATAATCGGCACCGTCGTCCGCATCGGCAGCAGCGTCCCGACCCTCGCCTCCTCCCCGGCCTCCCGCTCAATCAAAGTCGGCGACCGCGTCGGCATCGGCGCCCAGAGCATGTCCTGCCTCCGCGCAGACTGCGACGCCTGCGCCGACGGCCACGAGAACTACTGCCCCCGCATCATAGGCACCTACAACAGCCGGTATGCGGACAAAAGCAAAGCCTACGGCGGGTTCGCGGAGTTCTGGCGCGGTCCTGCGCACTTTGCGTTCAAGATCCCCGACGCACTGCCCTCCGCTGCCGCGGCGCCGCTGCTCTGCGGCGGCGTGACTGTTTTCGCGCCGTTGCGCAAGTATGCCGCTGGCCCCGGGAAGGCTGTTGGGATCGTCGGGATTGGCGGGCTGGGACATATGGGGATTCTGTTTGCCAAGGCGATGGGCTGTGACCGCGTCGTTGCGATTTCGCGGACGTCGAGCAAGCGTCGCGATGCGGTGGAGGGGCTCGGGGCAGATGCGTTCATCGCGACGGACGAGGAGAAGAAATGGGCGCGGACGCATGCGCGCTCCCTCGATCTGATTATCTGCACCGTTGACGCGCCGGATATGCCTCTTGCGCAGTATCTGCGGTTGCTCAAGGTGGATGGGACGTTCGTTCAGGTTGGAGCGCCGGAGTCGCCGCTTCCGCCGTTGACGGCATGGTCGTTGATTCAGAAGGGGGTGAAAGTGACGGGCTCGAATATCGGGTCTCCGGATGATATTCGGCAGATGCTGCAGCTGGCGGCGGAGAAGAAGGTGTTGCCGTGGATTCAGGAGCGGCCGATGCACGATATCAATGCCGCTCTGGCTGATATGGATGCTAACAAGGCGAGATACCGATATGTACTGTCCAACGAGATGGGGGCGCAGTCGAAATTGTAGTGAATTAGTTTTAGCACGGAGTACAATTTATCGTGTCCATAAAAAGCAATTCATATCCACTTATTCGGTTGGATACATGGGTCGATCGGGGAACAATCGCCTCTCTGCTTTGCGACTTCTGTTAAGCTTATCCTTGTGGAGTAAGAAATACGAGAGCCTGCGGTAAACGAGACGGCTGGAACGGTGGATATCTTGGCACCAGAAAAGATCATCGCTATTACCGAAAAGGGGGATTAGTACGAGATATACGAACAATGCATTCGCTCGATAGTGGGTTTTCGACGTGGTCTTGGGATGAGCCAAATTCGATGAATCTGAAGTTTATTGAGGAGGCGGCTGCCATAGCTATATAAGATGTAAAGATCTCCTTAGATGGGGATCGTTCTCTCAGAATTGACTACATCTTGGCTTGGAATTCCCCCCAAACAAACATTCTGTTTCTGGACCCATTCCTCTCTGCTGTGCTTGCCATTCTTACATATAAGATCACCATGTTGTTAAAGCGAGCATATGAAGGCTGGGTAGCCTACGAGTACTATCCCTCCATGGCGGCAGGAGTGATATTCGTCATCCTCTTCGGCATCGTTACTCTGCTCCACACCTTTCATCTCTTTCGAACAAGAACATGGTTTTTTATTCCTCTGGTCATAGGAGGCTATTGTAAGTTCTGATCTGCTCCCGCAGGATGACTCTCACTGGCTGAATGTCTGACTTCCATCAAGTCGAATTGATAGGATACATTGGACGCTGCTTGTCAGCATCCCAATCGCCACACTGGACACTGGGTCCGTATATCATGCAGAGTACATTGTTGCTGGTCGCCCCTGCGCTGTTTGCTGCCAGTATATACATGGAACTGGGTCGAATTATCCTTCTCGTCAAAGGGGAGAAGTTTGCAATCATTCGGGTAACCTGGATGACCAAGATATTTGTTGCCGGAGACATTCTCAGCTTCTTGATGCAAGCGTCAGGTATGATTTTCGTTGATTGATGCCCTATGCCCTTAGATGAGAGCCAAACACTGACAATCCGTTTCATGACAGGGGCAGGAATCTTAGTCACGAGCAACCAGAGCACGGGCGAAAATGTCATCGTTGGTGGTCTCTTTGTCCAGATCATCTTTTTCGGTTTCTTTGTGATAAGCGCTTTCGTTTTCCAGCGTCGGATCGCTGCTCATTCAACCCCAGAGTCCGTCGCCGAGTACATTCCATGGAAGAAACATATGGGCGCACTATATGCATCAAGCATTCTGATCTTGGTTCGATCCGTGTTCCGAGTTGCCGAATATCTTCAAGGCTGGGATGGTTCATTGCTGCAGAGCGAAGTGTTCATATATGTACTTGACGGACTTCTGATGTGGTTCGTGATGACTATTTTTCTGGTCATCCACCCCAGCGAGATCAATTGTCTGTTGGGCCGCGGGAAATTAATGACAGCCAAGGGGGGTCTCCAGGTCTGTGAGGCTTCTCTTCCTGTTTAGCACATTGAGTAGCTCTCTAGCCTTGCCGCAATGACGCTTCATGGATTGTCCGTTTCTTCGAGTTTATACCGCCATGTCGTTTTCCTTCCAACCTGTCATTCTGCTAGAGCGGCGGTCCTTTGCCTTCTTGTTTTTTATCATCTTCACATGCACGATTATTCGCTTGTGGACGGTGCCGTAAATGCCAGATGCAGACAGAATCGTGCTTTCAACATTGAGGGGGTCAGGTTAAATTCGGTTCGAATGCCTGGCCAAAGATATCTCTCATAGGCCAGTATATCAACGGGCGCCAACGCTCATCTAGAACAAGCCAGAGCGCCTTTGAAACCCGAGGACCCCACTCGTCGAGACACCAATTGTGTCGGAGGCGATGGAGGATTGCGCAGTAGTATGCCAGAATGACCAGAGCTAGGGGCTTACGCTCCCGCAGACAATCCACGTATCTCGGTTGCAACCTGATCGCCCACCTGCAGGCGACAGCAATGGAGGTTAGGCCGCTGTACACCGCGCCCGTCATATCTGCCCATTTGCCAATGGTGTCTTCATAAATAAACGTATCGTGCGTGGAATCCGTCTCTCCAATCGACTTGTTTGCGTCTTGGAGCTTTTCTAAAGCAAATAGTATATCATCGGGAAGGTTGACTTCGTATTCGTCAAACTGTACAATCGGTCCAAAATCGCTGTCCTTTATCGAAGAAGATGCGGTACTCAGCACCTCGTGCACGCCCCGCGACAGTATGAGCAGCTGAAGCAGATCGTCGATGTAGTCCCATGGGTCTTTCGCATCTGGCGGATGAGGATAGCCAAATGCGTAAACGGCCACAATACTCGCAAACGCAAACATGGCTTTGGCATTGGAGGGGTTAATGTCATGTAGCCGCTCACGAAACAAGGCCAATGCTTGGTCCTGATGCGCGACAGCAATGCTGACGTAGTCAGCACGGCGATGGTCAGCCCTGGTCCGCCCAATATGAAGCGCAGAGATAGCGAGTATCCCATGCATGAGAAACGGGTATGACAGCGCCTCTTCGGGGACACAGCCGCGCCAAATGCGGTCTGTTTGCTCATTGCGGGAAAATGACCTATAGGTCTCATTGCACCACTGCATCATCAATTCCAAATCACACAAGTTGAGGCCTGTAAGTGAATACTGAGTTGCCGCGCCGTGTCCACCCAGCTTCCCGAGAATGCCAAAGGAAACGGCGGTGTCGTGGAGCGACTGTTGCTCCGGAGGCCCCTCGGAGGCAGATTTGTTCGACCTCGAGCGGGACTGCGACCTCCCATTTGCCCACAAAAATGAGCCGCTGGAGTCGTACTCGCATTGCGCCCTCCGTTTGACGCAGTTGGAGCACGCTGGGCGAGCTTCATCGCACTGAGAATCGTTAGTGACATTTTGCAGCTCAGCTAAGTGGTGTGCGTCTCCGTACTTTGACCCTGCGTCGTTTGCACTCTACACAGCCATGTCTTGATTTACGATGAGGTCTTCGAAGAGCCATCTCTCGGAGGGCACTCTGTGCATGGCGTTGGCAGTTTGTACATCAAAAGAACGTCCCACATTAGGCAACACAAAAGAAGCCCCCAACTGATTATGTCATCCAACCTTATCGCTTCTTCAGTCAACGGGGTTCTACTACGTGTTTACTTTTTATTATTATTATTATTATTATAATTTTTATTTTTTTTATTTTTATTTTTTTTTTTTTTTCATTAATTTCTGAACGTCAAAGAAATAATGCCTATTGTTCGGTATGCCCAGCCGAATCTAATAAGTAACAAAATGGGAATCGACCGAGAATGCAGCGTATATGGTATCTCTGCTCATCGCAACAAGAAGGGAGAAAAGACACCGAAGCGACGAATATGTGAAGAGAAACAGAATCACCTTTCCGATGCAAGAATTTCAAAATAGCTGAGCCCTTTTCTCAACTGCCGCCGCCTCCGCCTCCGCCTCCTGATGAGGATCTATTGTCTCGTCGCCGCTGTTTCTCATACAGAGCAAGAGCGGTGATGATGACCATCAGGTCGAATTCCTGCCCATAATTTGCATAGATCTCAAGCTTCCCAGACTTCTTACAACCCCAAACGCTGCTCGTAAACACGGCAACGAGCCGATCAGTCGCCTCATCGACAAGCTTGTAGTTGCGCCAAGAAAACCTCGAAGGCTTTGTATCCCCAACTCCTACCGAGTGCGTGCTCTTCCAAATGAATGTTCGCCGTTCTACCCCATACTCGGAGTTGAGAGACATTTGAAACTGATATCTGGCATGAAGATGACTGAGAGCCACGAGATCTTCCCAGTCGACTGAATTTGGTGTTTCAGGATTTCCCAATCCGACTTTGAGATGCCTTGAGAGATGCAGGAATTTGCAGACTGCCAGTACTGGTGCTTCTGCACTAGTGCCCGCATGAACGCTGAGATCGGGTGTCTTCGGTGTCCACGTCGAATTGTGGACGTGGTATAGTTGTTCCTTGTCGGCATTGTGAACGTTATAATCATGGCGGAAGAGTGTGTGATATATATGATAAAGACGGCAGGAGCTGTCTCTGTTCGAAGGAACTGAACCAAGAGACTTGCTGTCAGTCATTGTGGTCTGATAAGCACTGCACGAATCCGCGAGGGTGGCATCGTCAGTGCCATAGGTGTCTTTGGAGTGACTCATTTTGGCGGACGGTATGATCCTGGGAAAAGATCTGAATTACCCAAGAAGACCTGGTATCTTTATAGTCTGCTGGCCGGTTAGCGAACACGAAGCGTTCTTGAGTTGAGCCATTGTTCACTCCGTACCAAAGTTTGGTCTATGCCGCTATTCATGCTCGATCTGAAGGATCGTTTCCGTTTCTGGTTAACCCAAGGGAGGCAATGCCCAGTTGATTGCCCGAATGATCGTCATCGGCTGCTCCGTTGCCAGCAATACCAGCGGTTCCATGGCTTATTACGGGGCTAAGACTCTCTACCAGTGTACCTAACATATTAAACTCAACCTTAAAAGAGGCCCTGCTTGTATGTTAACCAATCACAATACCCAGCGAATACGATCAACCCCAAGCGGTTAGGCCAATCTCGCATGTCGGCACAGCCAATCACATGACATGCCAAGTGAAACCTTACACGTGACTATGTTCTAGTCACATGATATCACATGACATGGCAACCGGCGCCAAGACCCAGCGCGCGTCAGTCATATAGAGAGCAATAATGGTGAAGGACGAGAAACACTGCAAAGTGTTGATGGCAGGGTGATGATCGCTGCTGATTTTTGTCCTCCTTAGCTCGCTTTTCAGTCTGCCACCCGACTGGCAGCTACTGCGCGTCTATTCTCCAACCTTTTCCGCAGGAATTGCTCTCTACGAGCTGGGATACCAACAGGAATCTCCAGAAAGATTTCATTCTCCGCTGCTCAGTGTCGCTAGTATTGGTACCGTTGCTAAAAAGTGCCATTACTTCTCTTTCTCCCTACCAATTAATAACTCATCAACCATCAATATGAGCTTCCATGTACCTTATGGATCGAGTCCGTCGACACCAGACAAATCTCGAAGCTTTTTCAGCGACGTCTCGGCGACTCCTGGAGATGCTCCGCCATCCGCAGCCAAGTCCTTCACTCCTCGAGGCCCTCCTCCATCCACCATATACGGAAGCTCTCAGATGAGCTCAAGATCGCAACTGGATTCTCCCCAGTCCCTTTTCACCAAATCCGGAGGGGTCGATTTCAATGACAGCATCTTCAATTCCTCAGTTGGATCTTTCCGTCAGCCAGCGCCCCGAGCCAAAAATGCTGGATCAGGGAAATCCTTCTCGCAGTCGCAGTCTCTTTTCAGCATGACGAACAATACTCGATTCGGCGAATCAACCGGTTTCGGAATGTCTAATGCCTTTACTTCGCAAATGGATGCAGAGACCAATGCCGATGACGAACAAATGATACCCGAGGAGGAAGAGGATGCCCAGGAGGAGGATGACATGGACACGGGCAATGCCGCACACCGATTGAGCTTCTTAGATTCGCAGTTTGGCAATTCCACACAAGCACAGTCTGCGTCGCATGGTCAACGGAAGTCAATATACTCAAACCCCAGCAATGCAAAACGACCGAAGCTCGACGAAAGATGGGCTCAACAATCACCATTGCGCAAAGGTAAACTGTCGCCAAAGAAGGACTCCGCGATGCCTTCGATCGTACGGAACTTCGCCTCCCGAGCCGGGCCCGCGGTGGTCAACGAGCCAAGTGACGTGATCATCAGCACCGAGGACGAAATGTGTCGAATGTACGACGAAGTGAGACAATCTGAGTTTACGAACAGAGACCTTCAAATTATTCTCTCCGAGGTGTGCAGCAGGCTTACAGACTCATGGAAGCTATCCATGGAGGGAAGCCGTGTTCCCACAGCAGCTGGCGCAGGGACTGACATTGGACCTGGGGATGGTGCTCCTGACGTTGCCAAGGCCAGCTTTCTCGGCTCTTTACTGCTTCAACTCCATCACCCGCCCCTGTCGGCCCCCAAGCAAGGAAGTCTCAACAATAATCTAGGGTTTGCCGCTCCCCGGAGTCTAGTCGTCGCGGCCTCGAAACCGGCTACACCTACGCCGCTACCTAAGGTTCTTTTGGACTGGCTTGAAGCCTATCATTCTTCTCAGCGCGACGAACTGCGAGCTTTGAAGGAAATTGAGCCTAATCCCACCTCGTCTTCTAATTTCTGGGAGATCGTCAATGCAGCGGTGCTACGTGGGCGCTTCTCGGAGGCGGCAGATATACTGCGATCGGCGGATTTCAATTATGCCAGATCAGCTTTGGAGGATGGCTTACCACAATCAGGCTATCGTGGAGCACAGCTGCAAAATATCCAAAGATGTGTCAATAAGGTTCTTCAAATTTTAGAGTCATCTCCCAGTATCCAGTACGATGACTGGGATGTCAAAGGCGCCGAATGGGCGTTGTACAGGAAACGCGTCACTGCCGCCGTAACAGATCTAGAGGAATTTGCGGAAGGGGGAGAGCAGCAATCGGTCGAGCCTCCGGTCACGGACAATCGCTTTCAGGCAGTTAACTTTGGGCTGAAGCCTAGTACAGCAAAAGCAGACTTCTCTTTTACCAAGTCTGCGCGCATGGCAGAAAGCCGCGTGCCTTGGACGATCTATCAAAGTTTGAGATGCTTGTATCGCATCATTCTAGGTGATGCCAACGCCATTCTGGACCTCGCGCAAGACTGGATCGAGGCCACCATTGCGCTTACGGTTTGGTGGGACGGTGAGGATGATGAGGAGGCGGCGCAAGGGAAGGGCGATGTCCTCCGCAGCGGCATGTTCAGATCGCAGGCTTTCCGCGATGCCAACGAAGATTCTGTGAATGTCTATCTTCAGCGCCTGGATCTTGCCTTCCGTAGCGCTATCAATGAGGAAATGGCGGATTCGAGTTTCAGGGTCAATCCACTCAGTAGTCTTGAGGTCGGCCTGGCGTCTGTTTTCGAGGGCAACGTTGACAGTGTGCTTGAGCTGATTCAGACATGGTCTTTGTGTATCGCCTCCGCTGTGGCAGAGGTCGCCTCGATTGGTGGTTGGCTCGATACAGAGAGAGGAGCGAAGCCGCTCCCGGGTCTCAGTGAGAATGACCTGATGGTCCTATCGTACGGGCAGAACGGCAATCAGCCGAACAAAGGAATTCGCAAGGATGACGTTCTAAGCAGCTATGCGCTCAGCTTGTTCAAACGACGTACAATTGAGCACACGTCCGGCGTCCGCGACGGCTGGGAGCTTGCTCTGGAGGTTGTGAGCCGTCTAGATGACGCGGAGAAATTGCAGAAGAGTGTTTCGGAGTTACTTGACAAGATCCCTCTTGATAATGTTGAGCAGTTGGACAAAGTGGTATTACTTTGCTCTGAGCTTGGTCTGGACAAGGAAGGAAGGAGAGTATCTGAAGTACGCCTGTGTTCAAGTCCCACCCTTGTTGTGTTTCTTGATTTTTAAACTAACCATCTGGCAGCGATTTGGTGATCAAACGGTGGAAAAATCTGATGAGTACGGTCTGGCATTGGTGTGTTACGCTCGTGCACACAGCCGTCGGAAAGTGAAGTCGGTTGTCGACCTACTCATCTCGTACAGTCTGGTTCAATCGCGCGCATATCCCGCATCCGCAGATCTCGATGAGCAGCTTGAGGCATTGATCAGAGATCCAAAGACCTGCCTTTCAGCGATTGCAGGTTCCGACGAGGACGCTGCAAGCATTCTCCAATTTTACTTCAGCGGATATGCTACTCTACGGCGGTTCTATGAGATACGAGATGAAGCGATCGGGCTCAAGGAGGGACAGCGACCTCGGTTCAAGCCCTTAGCCAGACGTAGGGCAGCGGCCCAGGCTCTGGTTGCAGTAATCAGTAGCGCCGCAGATAGTATCTACGGTGGACTTTATGATCCTGCTCGTGACTCTGCGGTGCAAGTGGATGGACTTCTGACACTTTTGGGAGAGGCACTGCCATTTATTGATCGTAAGTTATAGTTGTT